CTTTCAATCACTGGCCACAGCTTGTGTCCTGAGGTGAGGACTGGAATACACAGGCTCTTGTTGTGGAAGTTTTCCATTTAAATAAAGCAGATGAGCGGTGAGCAGTAGCTAACATTCTTTAATCAAAACACACAAAGAACAGACAACCAAGCTTGTGGAGAGCCTGTATGACCGCGGGGCAGACGGTCAGCAGAGTCTCTCTGAGCTTAGCATGGCTCTCAGTTAAATACCTTCTCCAGGAACAAAAGGCAGTACACAGCTGTTTCACACCTTAAGATTCACACTTCCTTTCTACCTCCCAGAGTCCTCGAAGAGACAAAAGACTCTTCCTGTGGAGTTGTCTGCTTTCCCCAACTTCCTTACTACACCCCCACCATTTGTCTTAATGTATGAGTGTGCGACTTGTTAAAATCCAGTGGCACCAAGGCATTATACAATAAAATGTGTGATTAATACATAAGTAAAAGAAATTCCTATACACTCTTCACACAATGGTCTGTTACAACACCCACATTACTGATGCACCAAAGATCCTGAAATACTGGAACACCTTCACTTAGGGTAATAACCTCTCCCTAATCCAGATAAAACAGGCCACATTTTTTTCTGGCAGAAAACCACATGTTTGGACCTGAAGGTGGTGGATTCAGACTCTGATAACAACATTTAGGAGAGCCTTGCATACTCAGGATACTCAAAATGATAACACTGGAGAGAGTTTAGTGTTGTCTGTGCAATAACATAAGAATTTAACTTGGTAACAACTTTTTAGAAGTTGTAAAGTTCACTTGCTAAAAACAGCCACAATATGGTGCTTTCTTCCTTGTACTGACTGTGTACAGCTCTCCGGACAGTAATGGAGCTTATTATGATGTATAACCAGCAGAAAGACCTGACAGTGTAAAGCTGTTCAGTGCTGTACAGGCACCAATGTGGAAGAGCCGATTTCTCTGTCCGAGAAGAACCAACAAACTATCCACAGAGCCCATGCTAGGTAAGCTAGCTGCATGTTGGTAGTTCTTCTGTTCTGTTCTACTGACATTACCATATACCACTCATTACTGCTTGAGAACCCTCCTTCATCTTAATGCGTCATTTATGTCTCTAACCTTGCTTATTATCCAGTCTAAAGCAAAATAGCTTGCTGATCTTGTCAACAACCATACTAAAACCCAGTCACAAAACTTCACAGATGCGTAATGATCAAAAAGAAAGATGAGTACAAAGATGTATGAGGTCAAAGCAGCTGGTAAGACCACACGGAAAGATAATGTGTAATTTACATTGTACCTGATCATTTAAGGGTCATAGTGTTTATCTGAAAAAGAACTTTCAAGGTTATGCACACAGCATAGGAAAATCATCTTTGTGCATTTTATACTAGAAGAAAGTGACTTATAACTTTATTATTCTTATACTGACCACGCTAACTCACTTTCTGCTCATTTCCAGGAGAATCAAACATCTGAAGGGAAACTTTTAAAAAGAACAAAGAATATAGAACACGCATCCCAATTTGGCCACCCTTATAGCCTCCTGTTAGAGTTTAGAATGGATTTTAAGATCTTGCTCATTAGTGAAGTGTTGAATGGTTTAGCTTCTGTGTAGTCCTTTCAGCCTCTCTGAGCTTGAATGTCCTTATTCCTCCATTAATCTTAGATCCTCTGATACAGTTCTTTGTAGTTCTTATCTTTATTAGCAAGATCAAATAGAGAATATAGATAGAGCACAATTTAAGCTATAACTATTCTGCACCTCACGTTATAATCACTGTCCACTTTGTTTGCCTTTGTTGCACAAATAGAAGGATGATCACACTGATAATTCTTTCACAAGCACAGTCAATTT